GACTATTCACCTATTTCTAACCTCTTCACAGTCAATGGGTTGATACCGCTGTTCTTTGGAAGGCTAAGTAGTCCAGTAGTAGTACAGTCAGTTCAGGACAGCATTGATCGCAGCCCTACAATGGCGCGCCTCCTTTGCCAGGAGAACCGCAGGCTTTGGTCAACGACAGGCCTATTTTGGAGATAATCAACGGACAGGCAGCAGTCGACTTTTTCCGATCATTCAATATGCACCAAACAGCACCAGCACTATGCCGGCGGCACACACCAGTTCATTCAACAACATCAGAACCCGGACAGAAAATGCGGTTACAGGTCAGCTTCTTTCTAGACACAGTCAGAAGCTGGGAATCGGCTACGGAGTCACTACTCACTGTCCACAGCGCACAGCATTTCACTAGGGTCCTCTTCTGGAAAAACATTGAATACAGGCCAGTTTCCGTTGTTTATTGCCACCTCGCAGAAGTGAAACGGCAGTCCTCCCGGCCTGGGCTCAAACTCTAAGCAACAGCTCGCGCAACAGCCTATTGACCGCTATGTGTCGCACTCAGTAATGATGTGCCTTGGCCCAGAGAGCCTTCGATCCTCCCCTGCGCACACGTTCTACTGTCTACATTTTGGACATAAATGTTCTTGCAAGGCCTTCACGTTTGCACCTTGGACGTTCTTCGCGCAGCTCCGCTGCGACGTTTTATTTCCCTCACGGACTGTCAGTATAGAGTAGAAAGTAGAAGTAGGAAGATCACTCAGATGCAGTCTTAGTGACAAAAGAAAGTAAAATACCAAAACCGTTATCAATTAATTTATACCACTGACATGTGCAATACTTTTACAGATTTCACTTCTTTTTACTTATTATAGTATTAGTCATTCACTACCAGGCACAGCAGTAGATGTCTTTGTTCTACACACTCACAACTCTACAAGTACAAGTACAATGATTGAACTGCTACTGCTAAGCCTACAGTTCAGTAGCTAGTAGGATTCTGTCAACGAACCTTAAACAAGTTCTCGTGTTTTTGCTTTCTGCTAAGTATTTGGTATACAAAGTAGTACCGGCTAAGTCGCGTAAGTTCTCATATATAGTTGTAATTAACCTCACCTGCTATATCGCAGCTTAGTCCGTTACGAAACACGTAAAAAACAGTAAAGGAAAAACGAGGTAACTCACAACATTACCCAAACAGATTTGTGCGACAAAACAGACAATAGTTGATACAAACAAGTGAGTTACGTGTCTGCCATCTGTTTCTCACCTGTCTGGAGAACATCAAGTAAGCGACTGGACGGCGGCCCACTAGCAGTGAATGTTTTTGTAAGTCTTTTAAAGAAATGATGCGCAGCAAGTGAATAAGCTTCTCGCTTCTTCAATTTACAAGTCATATGCTATGCGCAGGCGAGAAACCATTCCGTTTTAGGCAAAAACAATTGGAGAAACTTGAACAAATACAAATTGCCGGAGCTTATACAGCGACGCTGCTAAAAAGTCTGAGATAATTCAGAGGCCAACGTCGTCGATTATGGGGGATATATACTTCAATATCGTTATCGAACAAACCACAACACACTAAGCTGAACTCGCTCAACACGACTGAGAAAGGTAGAGTAAAACTTGTCATAGTGTTTTAATTGTGCACGCGTATCAGCCTAGGCATTACTGTCTCCCTCAACTAACTAATTATAATATGCTAATTAGTTACTCACGTTGGAACGCACAACAGGGTACGTTCCGGCACATTAAGATCAGATAACAGGGGTACGTTTTCCGGCATATTAACGATAGTAACAGGGTATGCGTTCCGGGCGCGCAGTACCTGGGGGGGACATAGACCCTCTCAGCTCCACTGGGAGTGAAGAGGATAAGTAAGTAAGTAACTAACTCCCTGCATGAGAGTGTAAACATTAGGACAATTCTGTACGTGACTGTTACCTACTTAGGCTACTAGATAGGCCAGCTAATTTAAATTCAAATCCATTCCATTCTATTTCGAGTTCTACATGATATCAAAGCCAAAACCCAACTATATGTATGACTGTGTATCTGATTTTAAAAACGGATTAAGAAAAAATCCAATACTGAAAAGGTAAAATAAAGAGTCCAGAGGTGCTTTTGTGATTTTCTGATTACCTGATGTGACTTGCATTTTTCTTTGCAGGTAGAGTCATGTCAAGAGCAATATCTTGGACCTATATGGCAAGCTAAAGTAGGCACGCTCGTACCATATGGAATCGGATCATAACACTACAGCTTGTGTGGTGTTCTAGCATGCTTTCATGTCTTGGCTACAGAAGAGCTGGAAGAATTACCGACGCCGCCTGCTTCCATGGATTGCATTTAATGTCGAAGGAAGCTCCACCAGGCATGCACGGCACGGTGACACTCTCGTCGCTAACCAGGTGGCCGTAAATTTCCTGTACCGCCTTTTCGACGATTTTCACAGACGGCGCAACGTCGAAAATGATCGCTCTCTGCGCGACCTTGCCGGCTTCTCTGTTGCTAGGAGTCGCAGCGGGATTGTGGGAGCCGGCAGGGGCGTGTTTGTCACGCGTGGATACGTGCGGGAAGGCGCGATTGCAGCGCTGTACCCGGGCACGGTGTACAGAGGATCGGATCCGTTGTTCTTTCAGTCCCTCCGGAACTCGTTCGTGCTGCGGTGCATCGACGGTCAGTGCATCGACGGCCGCGATTCGGGACTCTCCCGGCTAATCTACAGGTCCTGCTCCAACCGAGATCGTGTTGGTCACTTCCGACTCAGCGACCTCTCCTGGCTGACGGAGCGGCCCGTGAATCCTCTCGCGGTCGGACAGTATGTGAACAACGAGCCTCGACCGCGCATGGCCAACGTTGCCTACCAGGAGGTGGACATCGCCGATGGTGCGCTGCCGGTGCAGCTGATGCAGTACGTGCCCAACGTACCTTTTAGCCATTCAGGAGAGTGGAGCGCGGATCCTAGGAGTCTTAGAGTAGTGGCGCTCGTGGCCACGAGAGATGTAGAATGTGGCGCGGAACTCTTCTCAAACTACTTTACTCTTTTGCACTGATGTGTTGCTTGCAAACTGGTACAGCCATTATCACTATTCTAAACTAGTCGATGGATAGAATGGTTAATAAGTTTGTAGATTACTGTGTTATGCGTGGTGGTTGAATGTATTATATGAAGTAATGGCTACGTTGTTCTTATTCATGATAATTTAATAAAATGTACAAACAAAATTGAATAGACTATAAAAGTATTTTGGATTTATTCATTTTTCTAAACAAACAATCATGTTTATGTTATGTTATCCATAATTGGTTCACAGTGAAATTTAACATGGTGACCAGGGGTGGATATGCATCTCACTTTGCTTATGGGTGGGGGGAAGGGGCGCAAAACCATACGTGGTTTGTGGTTCTAAGCAGTTCACCATTGATTATTGACCATGTTATAGTATCTACATTGGTCCCACTGCTAGCTACGGCCCTGGTGACACACTGGAAAACAGTTATGAGGTAAGAACTATACCATCCATTTTGCATGTAATGTTGTATTGTATCATAGAATTAACAAATTTTACCACTAACCATAAGATTTAATATATCTAGAATTTCAAACATTTTATAATGATTCAGCCATGCATACATCGATGTAGGATGGTGTTCAGTCATAAATATGAACAATCTTTTTTGGTAAAACCTTGATATAATTAAAATTTTCCTGGTGTGGACCAAATAATATCAACAAGTATGAAGTTGAACACAATAAATTATTGTTACTTGGGGCACTGTGTAATTATTACAATGACACAGTGAAACAGTGATGTATGTACATAAAGTACAACCTACACTGAAACGTTAGCCCTAATCATATTTACCAAGTGTGAAACATGGTCTGGTTTGAAGACCAATCAAAAAAGAAACATGTGTCAAACGCACTCTTTCGCCACACCTTAAAAAGTTTCTGATAAACACATCAACTATATGAACAGATGCGCCGAAACGAATAGTTCTCAGGCAGACCTCTCGACTGCATCACGCTCTTGGGAGAAGACATGCGTACTCCACCTCCAGCACACTTGCCGTAGATGTGCCTCTTTCAGTTAACCTGCTCTTTCAGGCAGACACGGAGACGCTAATCCTATTGCGAGGATTCACCGTACGGCCGCATCACGGGCGCCTAGGCGTCAAACCGATAGGCTGCGTATATGTCATCGAACATTCGCTTGCAGTTGACCTTGGCATCGAGCTTTGTGCACAGCAGGAATGCTCCCGACATCTTCCTGTGCAGGGAGTAGGTCTCCTCGGGCGGCGGCGTCAGGCGGTGCTTCAGCATGGTGGGGATGAGGTTCTGGATGCGACGCGTCGTGCTCTGCCCCGTGAAGTCGAACGGTCCGTCGTGCGAGAACGCCTCGCCGAGGATCATCACTGCGTCGATGTGCGCGTCGACCATCACCTACACAGCAGACGATGCATGTGATAGTTAAGACACGTAGCAGAGAGAGAGAGAGACAGAGATACGCAAATACGCGATATATGGTAGTAAGCTGTACACGGTAGTGGTAGTAACACACACGTGATATATGGTAGTAAGCTGTACACGGTAGTGGTAGTAACACACACGTGATATATGGTAATAAGCTGTACATGGTAGTGGTAGTAACACAC